GCAGAGTGTTTTCGCTTTCTTCCACCAGTGGTTAGTGCCCCGACGAGTGTCTTCAAGATCATCAGCCAATCTTCGGTGTTGGTTTTCTCTGGCTTTACGCAGCTCAAGTCGGTAGGAGTTACGGGCTAATTTGTATGCTGAGTGGCAAACCGGATCCTGGGGATGCTTCAGAAACTGTCGATATAGTCTATTCTTCCTCGTATTCAGCTTCTGTAGATGGGCATTGTACCAGGGTTTTTGTTCTTATGCCCGGTAGTAATGAGGCGCCATATCATGCACTTGTCAAACAGAGCCATAACATGGTTGTACCAAACAGTCCAAACGTAGTCGATATGCACATCACCCTGGATTCTTTCAACTGGAGGATATCTCAGAAGAAGTGTGGTGAACAAGGAGTGGTTAAAGCACCGCATATCCCGGATGTGGGTACATTTAGAGAGATGTATGTGATGACCGGACAGTGATCAGCAACAGGTGAGAGAATCTTAGATGTGGATGGGAGGTCTCGCAGATTGGTTACAGTCAGGTCAAGGAGTGAATTCGAGGTCGGTGTGGGCCTTGTACCATGTTCAGTATTTACTACACAGAGATCGTAGGTGGTAAAGAGCGTGTGAAGGGCTCGTCCGGCTGTATCGGTGGGGTCTGAAGGTTTCCGGTGGGAATGGCGTGCATTGAAATCTCCAGTTAAAATACAGTTTCTATCAGCGATATTCATGAGCAGGCGTTCTAAGCATTGGGTGAACATGGGCACTGGATGCCTAGGAGGACGATATATTCCAACTATATGCATTGGGAGGGAATGGGCATAAAGTTTCAGGACAAGCATTTCACAATCATGTTCCTCCAGGAAGGGAATACGCTCACATTGGATATTATCTCTAACCAGTACCGCGACTCCCCCTCCACCCAGCTGGGACCCGGGCACGTTACAAGAGCATCTGTCCCTGCGGTATATCTTGTAGCCAGGAAAGACTAGACAGGCATCAGGCATTGTATCATTTAACCATCTTTCTGTTATGCACAATATGTCCATATCGTTCTCTTCTAGGAGCGCTGTGATGTCGGCTTGTTTGTGCAAAATACTTAGGCAGTTAATATTTCCAACTACAAGACATGGGCTATTTACTGGCTACTTACTAGTTCGACACTGATTGTGGTTAGGAGACCCCCGTGATCCTAGGCTGTTGAATCCGACAGGAGCCGTTGGACTTCTTGGTCAGAGATCGGTCCACCCTCCATGAGAATTGCATCGAACGGCAGAGAGCACTTGATGCCTCGCCGGCGCAGTTCCTTGTACGTTGCTACGTGTGACCGTCTGTCTTGCGGCTGCTTGCGAGTCAGATCATGCCCGACATACAGAGGAGCTCCATCATCATCGAAGCGGCGCTTGTATATGTCAGATTTCGAACCCACAGTTCCCAGTTGTACTCGTACTGGGCGATATCTACGTGCAGCGGCGGCCCCAGCTGCACTGGCGTAACAGTCTTGAGAGGTTCTCCAATCCTCTCAACAACTTGGATGAGGAATGATTCCACGTGGAGGGTCTTGCTGCATTGCTGCAAGAGTTGCTCATTATCTGCCTCAGGAAGGCCACGTACAATGATGCTGTTCTTGCGCTGTTGCTTGTCGACTTCCTCCTGCACCACTGCTGCGAAGTCAACGACTTTGTCTGCGGGCGGTTCTATAACAGTCCAGGCTGGTGTAGACTGTACGGGCTGTACGGAGTCTGGGGTTAGAGTTCCGTACCGTACTTCAAGCGAGGACAGACGGTTCTCCAAGCTGTCGATTGTCTTTTTCATCTTCAAGTTTTCCGCCATGATGCCTTCCATTTTCGAACCAATTTGCTGGACGATGGCCTCCATGCTCTCCCTGGAGTTCGTCTGCTCGCTACGGATTTCCAGAAGCAGGTCCCTGATCTTACTAAGGTTATAGGGGTCAGCAGATTCGCTCTCTTCTTCTGAACTCCCTCCAACGGTGACGTTGGTTTGGTTTTTTGGGCCATCCGTTGAGAAATCGTACTGGGTGTTCTGCTCTGGGTAGCCATGGCCTACTGACAGCTACTCACACTACAAAATTAATGATTGCTATGTTCTTAGAAGCTAGATACAGATAACTAAGAGTAAATTATCGTGTCCGTTCCCGAAGGGAACTCACAACGGCCGCTAACACCCGATAAACCCTAGCGGCAGATGCAGCGCCTAACGGTGGGGGTGAGTGGTTAAGTCTCACAACCACTGGCACAAGTGCCGAAAACGACCCCATTAGCTGCATCCATGTACCCCTTGTGCCTGGCCACAAGTTCCCAGTTGACTGTGGGTAGCAGCACGGCTGGAAAAACCGCTCCCAGGCTGGACTTGAACCAGGTACCTCTCGTATCTCAATCCTGGTCTTTGACCAACCCACTGTGCCTGCCTGCAGATAACTGGTTGGCCGTAAAAATCCAAAGTGTGCGAAAAACCACAGAGCTCGAAAACATGCAACCGACCCGTACAGTAACAAAAACTCTTTCATATATGATCCTACAAGGCTACATCAACGACACCAAAGCGACACCAAAGCCTTTTATTCGTAGGTTTTGACCGGGCATTTTCAAACTTACTTCTCCAGTCATCAAGTCTTTTGATTCTTTTACTTTAAAAATGAGTGGTGTATATATCCTCTGGTCACCTTTCACCACAAACTAGCACCTGGCAGTTTCATCGACGGTGGAGTCCACTGCAGCCAGGCACGAGCACGATCACCATAGCAAGGCACGTGCTGCAGAGATCCGGCAGCTTATACCCAAGTCTGCGCTGTCGGATGCCATGTGTCTAAAAATTCCCAAGTCGGGCCTGTCGCTGGCCCACTCTCGCAGTGGCCTGCAGAGTCTGCTGGCAGAGCCAGAAGGTGCGGGGAGCACAAAGCCCAGGGCCACAAGGTGCAAGAAGGTCACTGCAAAGCTCCAGGAGTAGATGGATGCAGCGACCACCCTGCAGACTAGCGACGGTGACCAGGCAGCGGGTCCAGAACAAGCAGCACCCGTCCAGCAACCGGCTAGGTCGGAGCAGACCTTGGCACTGTATCGTCGGCGCAAGGCTGCAGGATATGATTTGCCAGATGCAGATTATCTTGCATGGCTGAAAGAGCCATTAGCTTGATAATTTATCACAAGAACAACACTATGATTCCAGTGGCAATCTCTGTGTGGTGTGCTTGCTTTAAAAGTGCCTTCAATTGCTGCAAACTGGTATTTGCAGAATTGGTCGAAAATACCACATGTCCCTACCTATTTTGTTTGGTAGAGGCTTAAAGTGCCTGGTTACATCAACAAAACTATTCATGATTGGAAGCTAGGGGGCTGAAGGTACACAGACCACCAAAAAAACAGGGGGGTCCATGGACAACATATTGCAGGCAAGACCATTTTGCAATTGACACTCGAATGAAATTCGGAAGCAGGAAATGTCAAACTAGGGGCTCTACACATGACAGTAAAGCACTAAATTTTAATTATTTTACCAAAGACAAAATATGGTATCCACAACACACTAGGCTTCTGTGGGCAAATAACGATTTTTGCCGTTTTTTGCCAAAAATCAAGAAATTGTACGCTCACTAAATGCCCCGGAATAGCTCTTATATGGTGACCATACCTAAAAACTAAACCAAAGTGAAGAGTAGACATCACTTCATAATTCTATGGATAAAAAAACAGGGTGTCCATGGACCTTTTTTTACTCCTATAGGTGGGAGCCTCCTTAGAAAGAAGTAGAAGCAAGACAAAACCCCAAAGAGTTCGTAATTTAAAAAAGAATAGATCGTAGGATGCACCCAGTGTGCTAACAGTGCTCAACTCCGCGAAGGCAGTGTTGCCGCATGATTGTGAAAGCATGAAACTTGAAGTAGCAACAAACAAGCCTTGATTTGCCTTGTACTGTAGTTTTAAAATAGATAAAATAAACCCCACCACCCAGGAGTGCTTAGCCACCCAGGAGTGCTTAGCCACCCAGGAGTGCTTAGCCACCCAGGAGTGCTTAGCCACCCAGGAGTGCTTAGCCACCCAGGAGTGCTTAGCCACCCAGGAGTGCTTAGCCACCCAGGAGTGCTTAGCCACCCAGGAGTGCTTAGCCACCCAGGAGTGCTTAGCCACCCAGGAGTGCTTAGCCACCCAGGAGTGCTTAGCCACCCAGGAGTGCTTAACCACCCAGGAGTGCTTAGCCACCCAGGAGTGCTTAGCCACCCAGGAGTGCTTAGCCACCCAGGAGTGCTTAGCCACCCAGGAGTGCTTATAGCCACTCAAGAGTGCTTAGCCACCCAGGAGTGCTTAGCGACCCAGGAGTGCTTAGCCACCCAGGAGTGCTTAGCCACCCAGAAGTGCTTAGCCACCCAGGAGTGCTTAGCCACCCAGGAGTGCTTAGCCACCCAGGAGTGCTTAGCCACCCAGGAGTGCTTAGCCACCCAAGAGCTCTCAAAACCACCCAAGAGTGCACAACTTTATAGACACCGTCACACGGTCCTTGATGGCATAGTTCACATCACCTGGTCCACAGCTACTGCAGTTATTTGGTGTATTAGTGCAGATGCAACAGGGTTCATTGTGCACACAGTCCAGGGTTTGCTGATGTGTTGAAGATGTTCTCCCCCCTTCCACCAGAGATTGCTTTCATTTCGCTGCTTTTTTTGTTCACTATTTACCCCCTGGATATATACGAAGAGTGATGAGAAAGTGTTCGACCTGGCCCAAAAAAGACACTATCACTGGTTTCTTGTTTCTAATTGTCACAATATCCACACTGCAAGGGAATGTATTTCACTCAGCAATCGCTCGAGTGTCATCAATCCACCTCGGTAGAAGGTTTTCATCTAGCCAGTCTAGCATATGGTGAGACTTCTCAATCTAAAATGGCCAAAGGCATTGCAATTACAGCTTCACACTCTTGCAACCGGGTTTAATGTATCTTGGCACCAGAAGTAGTGCTAGAAGCAAAAGGGTAAGACAAATTAATCACTGATCAGCTTACTTGAACACGGTGGTTGTCTCTATCAGTGACAAGGAGGTGCCCATGCCTATCCTCGGCAATGTGCTTTGGGTTGTTGAACTGACCATCTGACTCTCCCTCTGATCCGAACATGGTAATGAAGTTTCCATCAGTAGTGAAAACCTGCATGAAAACGAAATGTATTTAAAACTCTACACTGTGATGACTATGTCCTTCAAGAGTTCAATACTGTGTACAGGTCATCCCTCGTTACTACATAATCTATGGCAAGTTGGGACAGAAAAAAAGTCTTATAACGAGACTTATCATATTATTACACATCGACGCACACACACGCACGCACACACACACACACACACACACACACACGCACACACACACACACACACACACACACACACACACACACACACACATACAGTACTCACTGGATTAAAAGCCGGAGCTTGTATTTTTTAAATACCAATTTTGACGAGGCTTCTATTCAAGACGGGCTTCTATTCGAGAGGGTTTTTTATTGTTTCATTCCATACCAGTATTCCAATCGAATCTCTAAAACTTTCATATTCACAGCAACTCGGCCCCGAGTTAGTTTGCACACATTACGTTGGCCAGGACATGTACCGATATGAACATACACGAGATGTTTTTTACGCAATTGACATACATGGCACTACCTGGTCACCCCACACTTCGCGTATAGTAGTCTGGGCTTCTATTCGAGAGATGCTTTCAAACAGTGCTTGAAAAGGGGGGGGGGGCTATTATTCAAGAGGGGATTTTATTCAAGAGGGGCTTTTATTCAAGAGGGGCTTTTTTTCCTCTTTTTTACTATGTCAGCTCGAAAAGAATAAGGAAAGACAATGGTACAAAGACTAGGACAAACGTGACAACTAATGAGCAGGCGCTACACCGAGACGCAGCAGTGATGGCGGGGCATTGATGACTCTGCCGACCTGAGGTCTCGGCGTTACGGCCAAAACACGCACCAAAAACAATGAAAAAGAAGAAGATAGAGCTGTACAGGTAAGAAAGATGCAAAACCCAAGGCTTAACACGAGCGATTGTGGGGGAGAAACTGTCTTAGCATCATACTATTCATAGGGAATCGACTGCCCAGAGCCAGTTTGTGCTGCGAAGATGGCGGTAAACATTCGTTTTGAATGATTGCATTCTCTTGCTGTGGGGCGGCTGGGATAGGAGAGCAGCAAGGAGGGAGTTCCAATCGCTGATGCTGCAGTGTGGGAACGAGCGCTTCAGTGCCAGCGGGGCAGATGCAAGCAGCTGGTGTTGGAGGTGGTGGTCATGGCCACTGACAGCACCGTGCTCGCTGCGAGTTCTGGGGTTGGTAGATTTGATGTGGCGCGGTGGCAACACAGAGAGCAGCTGCGGAGGACCAGGCAAGTAGTGCAGCTTGGACAGGCAGGCAAGCGAGGCAACAGTGCGGCGGATGGCCAGGCTGGGTAGGTGTGCCCCAGGGCCGATAGCATGAAGCGCGCATCGCTGAACATTGTTCAGACGCTGGAGGTGACTCTGCGCAGCTCACATCCTTCTAATCGAGTGAGTACGGTACGCGCAATCACACACTTACATACGTGTGTGAGCCCCCCCCCCCCCCCTACACACACTGAGACTCCGACTCTGACATGTCCATCGTGGGAGCGATGATAGCGAACGGCTATGTTAGACATAACAACTTGTGCAGGCATTTCACCATTCAGCAGCTTGCAAGGCTGATGAATTGACCGAAGCCTAAGCCTGGTCTGCACCACACAGCTGATTGAAGTAGCTTTTTCTGTCCAGTGAACCCCTTTTTTGCTTTTTTTCCTTTTTTCATACACACACCACATGTTCTGGCATGCACTGTCTATTGATAACCACACAGGAGAATGAACGAAGAGCTAGGTAAATGAGAATGAGAAGAAAGACGTGTGTGACCATAATCGTCAGGAATTGAACCCGGAACCTTGTAGTGACCTGACTCCTATTACGTCACTTCACACATAAGCATGCGCAAGAAATGAAATCATTCTCTTTGGACTCAACTTCTTTGTTGTCCGGTTGGCCATTAAGCCGTCATCTAGGGCCCCACATAAAACCACTAAATCGGTTACCCCGACGTGATTCGAACCCGCAACCTTCTGATACACAAGCATGCGCAAGATATAAAATCACTCTCTTTGGCCTCAACTTCTTTGTTGTCCGGTTGGCCATTGTGGCCATCGTCTAGGGCCCAACGTAAAACCCCTAAATTGGTTACCCCGACATGCATTCTTCGGAGTTTTTATCCTGCCATCACCACCGCCACCGTCCGTACCAGATCAACAGTGCACGCACGCAGGCATACGCACGGCTCACAGGACTTACAAGTGGAGCTGTGCACGCCTCCATCAGTCCCCACCTCAACTGGCACACCTCGCCCCAATGCAGTGCTCCTGCTGGTACCTCGCCAAGCCTGCAACATGCAGCCGCCTCTGACATGATAACACTAATCTGTTACGCGTACGTTTCCTCTTTTCTTTCTTTCTGCCTCTGACATGCCCTCCACCTCTGTCACGTTAACACACCTCTGACACGTTAATCCGCCTCTGTCATGCATCTCTCTGTTTTCCACTTCCTGCTCTTTGACTTTTGTTTCGGTCTTTGTTGCCACGTTATCAACAATTTTCAAAAACACACATCGCTCTCTTGTGCATATTGTATTATGTTTTTTATTGCCTTTCCGCCTTGTACATGCCATGCTTCCTTTCTCTATCTTTTTTTCTTGTTTACCGTGCTTCACTCCTCCTGACCTCACCCCTGGTAGGGGACACTGTAGCAACCTGACTCCTATTACGTCTCTTCTTATGTATGCATGCGCAAGAAAGAAAATCATTGTGTTTGGACTCAACTTCTTTGTTGTCCGGTTGGCCATTTATTGGTCATCTAGGGCCCGATATAAAACCCCTAAAACCTCACGATTGGAAATTGTCTGCACACACCAGAGCACCATATGGCGCACGCACGCACGTGCGTGTGCGCACACACACACACACACTCACACAATCTCTCTCTCTCACACACACACACACACACACACACACACAGCAGGGACGTCGGGAGGTAATTTAGTGTGAGGCGGTCAGCCATCAGAAGTACAAATTACTCGTGGGGGAGGGTGGCCGAACCAAAATTTTGGAAATTTAGAGCCCAAATCAGTGCATTATCTTGATCCATGAGTGCTTTGGGCAAATATTGGTACGGTCAGTACCGTAGTGACCGTACCATGTGCGACACCCGTTCACACACACACACACACACACGCACACACCATTGGACCATTGGACGCCCATCGCCGGAGGCGATGATAGCGATGCTACAGCAGAAGCCGTAGCAGCTTGTGCTGGGATTGCACCATTCAACAGCTTGTAAGGCTGAATAATTGACTGCCACTATTCAGCCTGGTCTACACCACACACACACACACACACACGCACACACGCACGTACGCATCCACGCATGCAGGCAAGCACCCACGTACGCACGCACACACGCATGCACACACACACACACACACTCACACACACACACACACACGCACACACACGCGCACACTCACACACATACTCCTACATGCCCATTGCGGAAGTGATGATAGTGAACAGCTATGTTAGACATAGCAACTTGTGCTGGGATTACACCATTCAACAGCTTGCAAGGCTGATGAATTCACCGCCACTAATTTTTGGCCTGGTATCCACCACACAGCTGTTTTTGAAGTGGATTTTTCTGGCCAGTGAATCCCTAATTTTCATTTTTCATTTTTTTTACACATACACCACACCACATAGTCGTGCATACACTGGCTGTTGGTAACCACCCAGGAGAATAAAAGAGGAGGTAGGAGAATGAGAAAGAGAAGAAAGTCGTGTGCGACCATAATCGTTGGGAATTAAACCCGCAACCTCTTGATTGGAAATCGACTGCGCATACCACTGGACCATATGGGACATATATATATATATACCCAATGCTGTAGACAGCAAGCTGTTTCGGCCATGAAGGCCTCATCAGTACAGCTACGAGCTAAATAGGCCGAGCTACCAGCCATGGTGCAAAGGAGGCACCACAGACATTAAGGTAGCTCGACGCTCTAGCACCACAGTACTCAAACTACAAAATGTAGCGGGCATTGCGCGATGCAGCAGCACTAGAGCAGCCTACTGAGAGTGCTCAACAAGGCGAAAGCCGAGGAGCGTGATACCCAATGCTGTAGACAGCAAGCTGTTTCGGCCATGAAGGCCTCATCAGTACAGCTACGAGCTAAATAGGCCGAGCTACCAGCCATGGTGCAAAGGAGGCACCACAGACATTAAGGTAGCTCGACGCTCTAGCGCCAGAGTACTCAAACTACAAAATGTAGCGGGCATTGCGCGATGCAGCAGCACTAGAGCAGCCTACTGAGAGTGCTCAACAAGGCGAAAGCCGAGGAGCGTGATACCCAATGCTGTAGACAGCAAGCTGTTTCAGCCATGAAGGCCTCATCAGTACAGCTACGAGCTAAATAGGCCCAGCTACCAGCCATGGTGCAAAGGAGGCACCACAGACATTAAGGTAGCTCGACGCTCTATATATTTAAATATATATAGAACAGAGTATATCCCGCGACAAAAGCATTAGTTGTCTGATGATTGCCTTAGCATTTAGCTACGTGCATGAAACGCAGCGTTACAACGTATGTTTCTATAATTGGTGAAACCATTCTTTTTGACCTTTGTAGAACAATAGAAGTATTTCTTGCGTCGGCAAAAAGTGCTCAATGTCCTAAGACATAGCGGGGTTATACACTCAGACACAAAGGATCTCCAAGTTTCTCAGTGTTGCTACTCTGAGTTTCGTGCAAAAGCACTCTTCAGGCAACTTACTCTTCTCTCACATCAGTATCCCTTTACATACCAGAAAAGACGAAAAGAAGCACCCTAGGTGGGAATCACAGGTGGAGAAAAGAAGCACGCTAGCCAGTCTAGGTGGGAATCACAGGTGAAGATAAATGTGGCAAGTGTGGTAGTGTGAGCAATCGCGCAGGCCGGGTGGTGTGCATAAAGTGAAGTGTGGCAGTAGGATGCATGCACATTAGATAGCAGGAGTTCTGTATATGTGTAACAGATAGCAAGCGCAGTCTA